ACCAATCAGGCCTTTATGGTAGAGTGGCCAGACGGAAGACACTCCTCAGTAAAAGGCACATGACAGCCCGCTTGGAATTTGCCAAAAGGCACCTAAAGGACTCTCAGACCATGAGAAACAAGATTCTCTGGTCTGATGAAACCAATATTGAACTCTTTGGCCTGAATGCCAATTGTCACGTCTGGAGGAAACCTGGCACCATCCCTACGGTGAAACATGGTGGTGGCAGCATCATGCTGTGGGGATGTTTTTCAGCGGCAGGGACTGGAAGACTAGTCAGGATCGAGGCAAAGATGAACGGAGCAAAGTACAGAGAGATCCTTGGTGAAAATCTGCTCCAGAGTGCTCAGGAAATCAGACTGGGGCGAAGGTTCACCTTCCAACAGGACAACGACCCTAAGCACACAACCAAGACAATGCAGGAGTGGCTTCGGGACAAGTCTCTGAATGTCCTTGAGTGGACAAGCCAGAACCCGAACATGAACCCGATCGAACATCTCTGGAGAGACCTGAAAATAGCTGTGCAGTGACGTTCCCCATCCAACCTGACAGAGCTTGAGAGGATCTGCAGAGAAGAATGGGAGAAACTCCCCAAATACAGGTGTGCTAAGTTTGTAGCGTCATACCCAAGAAGACTCAAGGCTGTAATCGCTGCCAAAGGTGCTTCAACAAAGTACTGAGTAAAGGGTCTGAATACTTATGTAAATGTCATATGTACTTAAAAAAAAAAAAAAAAATTAGCAACATTTTCTACAAACCTGTTTTTGCTTTGTCATTATGGGGTATTGTGTATAGATTGATGAACAAAAAAAACAATTTAATCAATTTTAGAATACGGCTGTAATGTAACAAAATGTGGAAAAAGTCAAGGGATCTGAATACTTTCCGAATGCACTGTATTTGATGCTGTGTTTTATATGTGCAACTAGTGTCACGCCCTGGCCTTGAGAGCCCGGTTGTCTTTAGTTGGTTTGGTCAGGGTGTGAATTTCTATGTGTATATCTAGTGTTGTATTTCTATGTTGGCCGGGTGTGGTTCCCAATCAGAGGCAGCTGTCAATCGTTGTCTCTGATTGGGGATCATACTTAAGCAGCCATGTTGCCTACCTTAGTGGTGGGATCTTGGTTGTGTTCCTGTTAGGCTTGTTGTGTGTATAGCCCATAGGACTTCACGTTTTCGTTGGTTTGTTATTTTGTCAAGTGTTTATTCGTCTTAATAAACATGTACACATACCACGCTGCACTTTGGTCTGACCCGTCTCGCAACGACCATGACAACTAGCAATATATTTAGAACTTGCTGAGCTCGAATGTATACTATTCTATTTTTAGTAAAATATACTACAACGATTTATAACGTCTGTAGATTTATATCTATATAATATATTTATATACTCATGTGTTCATGCCCTAATAAAACTGGTTGAATGATTGCAATATTTGGATGCCGAGGTCACTGAGCCTTAACAAGTTTCTGATCAATGCTGTCTTTACATTTTACATTTTAGTCATTTAGCAGACGCTCTTATCCAGAGCGACTTACAGGAGCAATTAGGGTTAAGTGCCTTGCTCAAGGGCACATCGACAGATTTTTCACCTAGTCGGCTCGGGGATTAGGACCAGCGACCTTTCGGTTACTGGCACAACGCTCTTACCCACTAAGCTACCTGCCACCTGTCTTTGTAGCAGACCTGACATATAGCAAAACCCATAACAGATTTCAACACATTTCTGACTGAGAAATACCTGGATTTTTACATTTATCCTACACTCTTAGAAAAAAGGCCAAAAAGGGTTATTCGGCTGTCCTCATAGGAGAACCCTTTGAATAACCCCTTTTGGTTCCATGTAGAACCCTTTTGGGTTCCAGGTAGAACACTTTCGGGTTCCATGTAGAACCCTTTCCACAGAGGGTTCTACATGGATCCCAAAAGACTTCTACCTGGAACCAAAAAGGGTTATTCTATGGGGACAGCCGCAGAACCCTTTTGGAACCCTTTTCTCTAAGAGTGTAGTCCTAGGATCTTGAGTCTTGGGTTGGGGTCAATTCCATTTCAACTCAGTCGATTCAAGACACAAACTGAAACTCTCTTAATTGAAATGGAATTGACCCCAACCTTGTGGTCTACTCTACGGAATAAAGACAAGATACCTCCCTGGCCACTGTGACCATTACGTGCCAGTCTGGTTTAATGACATGAACGCCTGTAGTAAGATGTAGTGTGTGGTTGGGTTTCTCTGAGGTTACGGTCATGTTCCCAGGGGATGGTGGTGAGGGCCTGAGGCCTGTGTTTATCTCGGAGGCCAAGGGGGGCTCCTGCATGGGGGCTTCTGTTGTTGCGCCTGACACCAGTCTTTTTGAATCACATCATGAAATGATATGTCACTATGAATAATGCAACAGTGTCATCAGAATCCATTATATTACATACTGTTTACATACTGTAGCTACCTATTTAGATTTTAAGGGACAGAGATGACAAAAGTTTTGAAGTCCACCTTTTTAAAATACCATAAGGCTGTCAAATAACACAATTACACCAATGAACTCTTCTGCTGTTAGTATCTTCTATTCTTTGTTACGAGTGTTGCATGAGCGCCACCTTCTTGTCAGTTCTGGTCTCTGTGTGTGTGTGTGTGAGAGAGTGAGAGAGAGTGAGTGTGTGTCTGTGTACAGGGGTGTCAGGAGGTCTGGACTGAGATGGGCAGAGGCAAGGGCAGCGTTTGCAGCTTTACCCACTGAGGTTCACTCTCACTTCCCACTCACATACACACGCTCACACCCACAAACGGTCGCTTGGAGTGGTCAGGCAAGGCAGCAGCATGCTTCACACTTTCTCACCTCCCCTGCTCCTGCTCGAGCCATACAGACATGATGCTACAGGAGAGCACTTCACAAGATTGTTACAGGAGCTATCAGCATAAGAGAAGCTGATGTGCTGCAGTCTGTGCCTCAAATTTGTCCTAATTTTCCCTCTCCTTTTTCATTGGGATTTGAGAGAAATAAATAGCTAAATATACATGAGGTATCGGGAGATCTCTGGCTGGACCGGTCTCAAGGGGCTTTCGCCATGTTACCATGTTGTCTCTCGCTAGTGGACATAGACAGATTTGTTTAAGTCTGACTGAACCAAATAGAATTTGGCAGAATAAATTACAGTTTGTACTTTTTAAAATGTTGTAGATAACTCGTTTTGGGATCTTGGAAAGTTTGCAAAGATATCTCTTTTGGGGAATTTGTGGACTTAACCAAACCTTTTTGTGGATAACTTGTTTTGGGAATCTACTCCATGTAAGTATTTTTATATTGTGTGTATTTAATGTTTATTTGGAAGTACCAGAAAAGCCTATCTCTGTACTTGGATGGATTCTTTATTTGCTTGATGTTTCTTTGATATTTCAGTATTTTTCTTTGTATTTCAGTATTACCAGGTGGTCTTGTACAGTAGATACAAATTATGTCAGGCGAGGGAATCAAAAGGGGCTCAGAAAGTAGTCGAGTTTGTCAGCAACTGTATCTATGCTGCCAAGTAAAACCACTAGATAAGTAGCAGTAAGGTAAGCTGCAAACCTCTGAGGACCTACTGTACCACCTACAGTACCGCATTAAACCTTGTTCTTCAATGTGTGTATCTTCAATCTATTAGATCTCAATTAAATGGGCATTGCATCTTCCATTTCAAAGTTTCGATTGTTGTTTTCAATGGGAGTTTGCAGGTGGTCATTTTCAATGAAATCATCATTAATAAACCATGCTATGTACATGATACTGTACATAGTTCCTGAAGTTCCTGGCGAATGGCGATACAATGAATGACAGAATGTTGTCTGTTGGGTGTTCCAGAGTTACTGTTCCAGAATACTCTGTTCCAGAGGCATGTTCCAGCAGTTGAGTCTAGCTGTGTTCCTGCTGTGCTCCCCAGTGCCGCTCTACGGAAGACCCATCGATGCTCTCACTAACAGAATGTAAGTCTCTCTGTCGCCTATGTTGAATAGCCAAGACACTCAACATTTTTTTTGTTTGTGTATCTGGACTAACTGGTTTTATGCACCAACTAAGAAACCCTTTGGTATAGCATCATGGTTTTCCATTGTTGAATGTTGAATAGCATCGTAAAAGGCTGGTAATAATGGAAATATATCAATCAATGGTAACGTTTAAACCATGATCACTTGAATCACATCTAAGGTTGATGTACTATAACACATTTACAGTATACAGTACCAAGTTTACTCAATCCGCTGTTTGATGATTTGAGAAAAGAGGTCTAGATATTTGGACAGGCCTACAGTGGTATGAATGTAGAAATAGATGTCAATGGTATAAATCACGGGAACCTAAAATCAAAAGTAACTACAGATAAAACTACATGTAAGTTGTACTACTTTACAGTACTACGTTTTGTAGTTCTGTTACATTTTAGCCATTTAGCAGACGCTCTTATCCAGAGCGACTTACAGTTAGTGAGTGCATACATTTTCATACTGGCCCCCCGTGGGAAACGAACCCACAACCCTGGCGTTGCAAGCGCCATGCTCTACCAACTGAGCTACACGGGACTGATGTACTGCTGCTCTTTAATTATTTGCTATTTTTATTTTATACTTATCTATTTTTTACTTAACACTTTTTTAATTTTCTTAAAACTGCATTGTTGGTTAAGGGCTTGTAAGCATTTCACTGTAAGACGCGCCATGCTCTACCAACTGAGCTACAGGGGACTACGTTACGTTTAGTTTTATGCTGAAATTATATAGAATACACCAAGAACAAATGGGTAAATTGTACATATTTTAGACCTGCATGGATTTGTGTTTTCTCATGTAAAACATTGTTAGCCTTTAATAAAGAACATAGATTTGCATCACGCCTACATCTGTCAAACTCAGCCCTGTGCATGGCAAGGTTTTGATTGACTTTTGTGGCCCAGGGGACATGCTTTGTGGTTGAATATGTGGCTTGTTAGCTTATGTTCCTCTTGTACATGTTGTGGTGGTCAGATAGCTTCACACAGCATTCATACAGTAACATGGACAGCTTTGAGCTCTCCCAGGTACTACATGTCTTTGTTTATGCTGCCACCTATTGAGGTCTACTGGAACATGACCTTGGCTGTCGTTCAACTATCAACACCTCACAAGTAGGTTTAGTCAGTCAATATACTGTAGGTTTATACTGTGCTACACTGTACTGTAGGTGCCACAAAATAATAGATATAAAATAAAGTGATAGGTTGTTTGGAGATCGATCAGGAGAGGACAGTGGGAAAGGTGGACTACTCTCTTAAAGAGTAGTTAAAGGTATTTTTTTTAAATGCAAAGAGCCTGTGTTACCACTACGGACCTTCTGAAGAGGTATGGCACAAAATATACTATTTTTCTTTACCATCTACTCTTACAAAGAGAGTGAGTCCAGTTGAAACACTCATTGACAATCTCCTTCTCCTCTCTCCCTTCAGGAGGAGGTCAGTGAGTCACGCCCAGCTGATGCACGACAAGGGTCGGTCTCTGGAGGAGTTCAAGAGGCGCCTCTGGCTCCAGGAGCTGCTAGATAAAGTCCACACGGCCGACAGCGTGCGAGCCCCGCCTCCCCAGAGTAGGAACAACGCCAACGGGGGCCACATCACCTTCAGCGGGAACGCCCTACGCCCCCCCAAACCCCCCGGAGGGACCAAGAACCTCCCTCTGAGTTTCCGGCTGGGAGGGGAGGGGGGCAACCTCCCCCAGGAGACCAACAAGTCTGTGGCCTACAAGGACCAGCCGCTGAAGGTGGCCACCAAGAGGAAAAAGAAGGTGAAGGGAGAGAGAGGGAGACGGAGGGAGAGTGAGAAGAGGAGGCGGAGGGCGACACAACCATTATCACGACACGGGAGACACATAAGGAGTCACAGAGGACTATAGACATCGGGTGACACACAGACAGACTACATCATGTGGCCTTTGGGTGGTGCTGCACTAATAACTCTGACAGAGAGCAGTTCCAGCATGACTGATTGAGATCTCAAAGACTGTCCACCAAATAACTGAAACAGTCTCCCCATACCATGGTGGACATTGTTCTTTGCCTTTCTTGTTTTAATCAGCTGCTTTTTCTATTTTTTGCCTTGATATACAGTACTTTTATATATCCAGAGCTCAGAGGTGTTTTCATACTATATAATAACACATATTACTTTCGTATTCGTATTTATTAGGTGAATAATATGCAGATCTTGAGATACACTACCGTTCAAAAGTTTGGGGTCACTTAGAAATGTCCTTGTTTTCTAAATATTTTTTTTGTCCATTAAAATAACATCAAATTGATAATAAATACAGTGTAGACATTGATAATGTTGTACATGGCTATTGTAGCTGGAACCGGCTGACTTTTAATGGAATATCTACATAGGTGTACAGAGGCCCATTATCAGCAACCATCAGTCCTGTGTTCCAATGGCACGTTGTGTTTGCTAATCCAACTGGCAGCTTCATTAAATAGTACCCGCAAAACAACAGTCTCAACGTCAACAGTGACTCCGGGATGCTGACCTAGGCAGAGTTGCAAAGAAAAAGTCCAGTATCTGTGTCCTTTTGCCCATCTTTTATTTTTATTGGCCAGTCTGAGATATGGCTTTTTCTTTGCATCTCTGCCTAGGTCAGCATCCCGGAGTCGCCTCTTCACTGTTGACGTTGAGACTGGTGTTTTGCGGGTACTATTTAATGAAGCTGCCAGTTGAGGACCTGTGAGGCGTCTGTTTCTCAAACTAGACACTCTAATGCATTTGTCCTCTTGCTCAGTTGTGCACCGGGGCCTCCCACTCCTCTTTCTATTCTGGTTAGAGCCAGTTTGCGCTGTTCTGTGAAGGGAGTAGTAAACAGCGTTGTATGAGATCTTCAGTTTCTTGGCAATTTCTCGCATGGAATAGCCTTCATTTCTCAGAACAAGAATAGACTGATGAGTTTCAGAAGAAAGTTATTTGTTTGTGGCCATTTTGAGCCTGTAATCGAACCCACAATTGCTGATGCTCCAGATACTCAACTAGTCTCAAGGCCAGTTTTATTGCTTCTTTAATCAGCACAACAGTTTTCAGCTGTGCTAACATAATTGCAAAAGGGTTTTCTAATGATCAATTAGCCTTTTAAAATGATAAACTTGGATTAGCAAACACAACGTGCCATTGGAACACAGGACTGATGGTTGTTGATAATGGGCCTCTGTACGCCTATGTAGATATTCCATAAAAAAATCAGCCGTTTCCAGCTACAATAGCCATTTACAACATTAACAATGTCTACACTGTATTTATTATCAATTTTATGTTATTTTAATGGACAAAAAAATTGCTTTTCTTTCAAAAACAAGGACATTTCTAAGTGACCCCAAACTTTTGAACGGTAGTGTATGTCAAATGACAAACTATACTTTACTCCTTCTCCTTTATAATTAGTAAGAAAACGATGTACGAAAGGTGCCTTTCAGGGGCTGATCACACACTCATCCAACTAGACGCCCATATGTAAAGTAGAGTATAGGCTACGCATTAAACGTTATGCATAAAATATTTATTGTCTATACATACTTAAATTCACAAAATTAGGGAGGATTATTCTTTTTAATGCTTGGTGGCTCTTGTGAATACATTTTGTATCTGTAGTTAGCATCCATAACAAATATTTCTACTATAATTTATTTAATTTGAACTGTGTATTTATTTTGTGAATGTATTACGGTGCTGCTGACTTTCGATAATTTTATAATAACAACATAATGCACTTTAGATATAATTATGATATCCTTATGTTTTTGTTAAGTTACATAAGTGTTCTCCTTTGTGGTAGATTTTTGTTGAGAAAAATGTTCCTTCCTTCCTGTTGATAAACACTTCATTTTTATTTGTATTTATTTTGTTTTCTTCCAATTATAGTATTGCCTATTACCATCTCATTGACTTATTGGATTGTTCCATCAAACTCACTCTCTCTAGTTTTAGAAACTATTTTTTATCAAAGAAGACAGAGTTTAAACTGTTGGTATAATCACAGACTTATTTCAAGTTTAGCACTTGCACTGAGAGCACCATCATTTCAAAAAAATTATCAAACAATAAAAGCTTTATGAATACATTGTGTTCTCTCTACATACGATGTAGTCCAATCAAATACTGTACCATCCCATTTTCTTATATAAATTCCATTATTGCGCCAATGAGTTGAACATAGAGTTACTGTAGCCTATCACCAAAGAGAAAGTCATCAATATAGCCTATTTGTTGACTATTCAGCATGAACAAGGGACCTTACAAGGTTGTTAATGTCACACTAGAGAACCATGTGGTGTGTTTTAACAGTCTCTGACTGAATGGACTGAATGGATACAGTGAGGGAAAAAAGTATTTGATCCCCTGCTGATTTTGTACATTTGCCCACTGACAAAGAAATTATGTCTATAATTTTAATGGTAGGTTTATTTGAACAGTGAGAGACAGAATAACAACAACAAAAATCCAGAAAAACACATGTCAAAAATGTTATAAATTGATTTGCATTTTAATGAGGGAAATAAGTATTTGACCCCCTCTCAATCAGAAAGATATCTGGCTCCCAGGTGTCTTTTATACAGCTAAGGAGCTGAGATTAGGAGCACACTCTTAAAGGAAGTGCTCCTAGTCTCAGCTTGTTACCTGTATAAAAGACACCTGTCCACAGAAGCAATCAATCAATCAGACTCCAAACTCTCCACCATGGCCAAGACCAAAGAGCTCTACAAGGATGTCAGGGACACGATTGTAGACCTACACAAGGCTGGAATGGGCTACAAGACCATCGCCAAGCAGCTTGGTGAGAAGGTGACAACAGTTGGTGCGATTATTCGCAAATGGAAGAAACACAAAAGAACTGTCAATCTCCCTCGGCCTGGGGCTCCATGCAAGATCTCACCTCGTGGAGTTGCAATGATCATGAGAACGGTGAGGAATCAGCCCAGAACTACGCGGGAGGATCTTGTCAATGATCTCAAGGCAGCTGGGACCATAGTCACCAAGAAAACAATTGGTAACACACTACGCCGTGAAGGACTGAAATCCTGCAGCGCCCGCAAGGTCCCCCTACCGAAGAAAGCACATATACAGGACGTCTGAAGTTTGCCAATGAACATCTGAATGATTCCGAGGAGAACTGGGTGAAAGTGTTGTGGTCAGATGAGACCAAAATCGAGCTCTTTGGCATCAACTCAACTCGCTGTGTTTGGAGGAGGAGGAATGCTGCCTATGACCCCAAGAACACCATCCCCACCGTCAAACATGGAGGTGGAAACATTATGCTTTGGGGGTGTTTTTCTGCTAAGGGGACAGGACAACTTCACCGCATCAAAGGGACGATGGACGGGGCCATGTACCATCAAATCTTGGGTGAGAACCTCCTTCCCTCAGCCAGGGCATTGAAAATGGGTCGTGGATGGGTATTCCAGCATGACAATGACCCAAAACACACGGCCAAGGCAACAAAGGAGTGGCTCAAGAATAAGCACATTAAGGTCCTGGAATGGCCTAGCCAGTCTCCAGACCTTAATCCCATAGAAAATATGTGGAGGGAGCTGAAGGTTCGAGTTGCCAAACGTCAGGCTCGAAACCTTAATGACTTGGAGAAGATCTGCAAAGAGGAGTGGGACAAAATCCCTCCTGAGATGTGTGCAAACCTGGTGGCCAACTACAAGAAAGGTCTGACCTCTGTGATTGCCAACAAGGGTTTTGCCACCACGTACTAAGTCATGTTTTGCAGAGGGGTCAAATACTTATTTCCCTCATTAAAATGCAAATCAATTTATAACATTTTTGACATGCATTTTTCTGTTAATTTTTGTTGTTATTCTGTCTCTCACTGTTCAAATAAACCTACCATTAAAATTATAGACTGATCATGTCTTTGTCAGTGGGCAAACATACAAAATCAGCAGGGGATCAAATACTTTTTTCCCTCACTGTATGTCCAAAATGGCACCCTATTCCCTATATAGTGCACTACCTTTGACCAGAGCCCATCAAAATTAGTGCACTATGTAGGGAATAGGGTGCCATTTGGGTCACACCCTCTATGGACCTGCTGGTATTGGAGGGGAGGGGAGGGAGTAAATGCACCAGGCAGCAGTGTTAGTACTGTAGCTACATCCTGTCCTAAGAGCCTGTACTGAGGCCATTAGCCAGACCTAGAGTCATAAACACAGTGGAATGGCCTGATAAAGACCCAATCAGAAGACTGGCGCTCCACACTACTGTACTGAAGAAATCAATGTAACAATGGAAAGAGGCCTTAATAACTCACTGAGGAGAGCGAGAGGGAGAGAGGTGAGGGAGAGGGTGGGAGACAATCAATGGAATACAATAAACGGAAAGGAAAGTGGAACGTTTTCGTTTGAGAGTAGGGTCTGTTCGTATGGACGCTAAATATGCTGACATAACACATACTGTATGGAAACCCCCACAGAACACACACCAATAAAATATGGATAATTTTTCTCTAATGTCTACGTTTTACTCATATGAAAGGTCAGAGAAGGTCTGTGACAGGTTTTTCACTTCTTGTAATAAACCCTCACACTTCCATTCAGAAGCTACAGTATTTACATTACATAATAATAACCATTGGAATTTCCAAAAACACATTCTCTGGAAAACTATAAGATACAACAATACAACACAGACAACATGCATGAACATAGACATACACCTCAGTCCTTCAAAAACTGTAACTGTGCTACATTCAGAGTCAGATGTGAGTACTCTCCCTTTAAACTCATCCAACCAGAATCAATTTGACCTGAGTGAGTGATGTTTGCCTTTCTCCATCGTCAGCAAACAAAAACTAAGAGTCATAGACTTCACACGCAATACACTTTTCTTTAACAGTTTTCATTATGGGGATACTCTAAAATTCCAAGGATGGCTAACGGATTCACCCATGACGGAGAATACTGCTGTTTATCTTGGTACACATGAGGATACTTCACTCAATAACCCAAGAGTATGGTAAGTAACACACAATAGCAAAACAGGGTCATCCAAATAATTATTTCAGGTACAGAGCAAGTCAGTTGTAGTCCAGTAGTAGGTAAACTTTTTAAATACAATAATAACCCAATAATAATTTTGTGATCATAAAATCTAGATCAAGCTTGATGTATATGTATGTAATGTAAATGTATATAAAACTCAGTGGCGGTAATGCCGTTTAAGATTAAGGAGGACGTATTTTTTTGGAGGATTTAAGGAGGACTTATTTCTATTACAGCACATTGGATGACTGTCAATCATATTCCTTTCACCCAGCTCAACGTAACATTGATAAGTTTAGGCTACTACATGATACTCGAATGCGTCCTAGACCATCATGAGGGTTGCTACAACCTAGCCTACAAATTAATGTTTATAATGTAGGTGCACAGGTCGAAAGACAAATTGAAGTAATCAATGTGACAGACAATGACACATTCAATATCGCCTTGCACACTCTTGCCTGCATCTAGCTGATCTGGGGTGTAATCATTTGTCCAAACAGTAAAACAAAAGTTTCTATTGGACAAATTCAGGTAAGTCCCTCCCGTTTCGTTCTGTTTGCTTCCGTTTAAGAAATGTTTTGCAACAGAATCAGCTAAATAAATACACCCCTGACCACCCGCACACACAGTTCACTTTCATAGCAGCCACAAAAAGCATCATCACTTTGCTCGTTGTATAATTCCTTTCTCGCATCTACGCGCTGTCCTCCTCTCACCTTTTCCCTTAGCTTGTAGGCTTCAGTGCAAAACACAACAGCAGTCTGTGACCAGGCGCAAAAAAACGCTCCAAGCCAAACCTTCATATCATGACAGCAAACCGCTACACAGCCTACATCGTTCAAATCAAATACAATTTTATTTGTCACATGTGCCGAATACAACAGGTGTAGACCTCACAGTGAAACGCTTACTTACAAGCCCTTAACCAACAATGCAGCTTTAAGAAAAATAAAAAGAACAGATAATTAAAGATAATAATCGCTGTCACCTTATTAACGTTATAGTCAACAAACTAGAACTAACGAGTTAGTAAACCCACAATCCATGTGTACAATCATGCAGTACAGTGTACAGCAAGCAGTATAACAGTTGGAAGAGTTGCATTGTTGGATAGCCTTAGCCAGCTAGCTAGCTAACATAAATAGCATTCCTCTCTGAGTCAGGTTGTTGAGTAGGCTAAATTAGCTGCATTAGCTAAGTGAAAGGTAAACTAATGAAATAGTTAGCTCTTTCTCTCTCGCTCTCTCTGCTGGTTCGCCTTAATTTTTGAAGAAATTAATTTGTTCAAAATGGTTCAACTATTGTCTTTTTCTCTCTTTGAGTCAGCTACTCACCATACTTCATGCACTGCAGTGCTAGCTAGCTGTAGCTTATGCTTTCAGTACAATATTTAGTCTCTGATCCTTTTATTGGATGGACAAGATGTCAGTTCATACATCAAGAGTTCTGAGGACGTTCTCCGGAAGTCACCATAATTACTGTGTAAGTCTATGGAAGGGGGTGAGAACCATGAGCCTCCTAGGTTTTGTATTGAAGTCAATGTACCCAGAGGAGGATGGAAAATAGCTGTCCTCCGGCTACACCATGGTGCTACCCTAGAGGGTGCTGTCGAGGCAACTGTAGACCTTCATTGCAAAACAGTGTGTTTTAATCAGTTATTTGGTGACATTTGAATATATTTAGTATAGTTTTATACTTTTTTTATGTTTCACTATTTGTATTTTTAAGAAATTCACTTAGTAGGACGGTCCTCCCCTTCCTCACCTAAAGAGCCTCCACTGATAAAAAAGTGGATTGTGAAATTTGATATAAATTAAACTATATTGAAAAGTTTCCAAGAACTGAGATTATCTAACCCTTTTGAGATTGAGATTATATTTAAATCTTTGCTCACACAACAGGCTGTCCCCAACACGTTCTCCCTGATCTTTGCCTGTACCTGCGGGGTGATCCTGGGCATCGGTTTCTGTGCCAACCTACTGGTGTTCTCTCTGTTCGCCAAGTACAACACCCTGAGGAAGAACCGGCTGGACATCCTGCTGCTCAGCATGGCTCTGGCAGACTCCCTCACCCTGCTGCTGATACCATTCACCTTGCACTCTGCCGTCAGGTAGCAAACCTCTTCTCGGGGACCCCTATATGTGCCATGTATTCAATCTAAGCTATTAAATACGTAGCACACCTGATTCACCTTGTAGTCTAATCATCACACCCTTGACTAGTTGAATCAGGTGTGCTAGTTTACTCAACTGTCAGGTAGCCTAGCCAATAGCCATAGAGGTTAGAGAGGGGCCACTGGGCCTGGAGTGTTGCCAGCAGATCAAAATCCAGGTTTGACAAACAGAGGAATCTTGCGGGATGTGAGCACTGTGTTTGTCTCTGAGGATTTGGGATAAAAGCAGAAGCAGGATTTCCATTTCTCTTTGACTGTGACAATAACCTCATAATCTTTCATCAGCTCCTTCTATCTTCTTCTTCAGCTACTCGTGGCCGCTGGGGGACACCTCCTGCAAGGTGTACCAGTTCTTTCTGGCCTTCTCCCTGGCAGCCAGCACCTACAGCCTGTGTGCCGTGTCCATGACACGGGCCATGATCATCACCAACCCCTACCACCCTCCTACCATGGACCTGGTGGTCCTGATGTTCGTCTTGGTCTGGGCATCAGCCTTCTTCATCAGCCTGCCTCTAAGGATCTTCGCCACCAAGGAGAGCCTGGGCCCCGGCTTGGGTAATTTTTCATTCTGCCTGCCCACCATACAGGAACACCACTATCAGGTAACAATGGCTTGGTCTGAAATTGTACTCTGTTTGCTAAGTAGGGCACAACTTTTGACCTGGTCTACTATAGGGAATAGGGTGCCATTTGAGATGCACACAATGTGTAACAAAAGGCCTTATGTTTAGTTCAAAGAATGTCACTGGAAGTAACCAGGTCTGTAAATTTTTTTGTACTGTTATTTTCATTTGCTAAAACAAAATGGTGTCCAATTAATGTGAGAAGAAACAACATTTTCAATCCATTCATCTATCCATCCCTCCACCAGGTGGTCCTCAGCCAGTTCATGCTCTACTACTTCGTCCCCATGCTGGTGATCGCCTTCAACTACGTCCGGCTTGCCTGCTTCCTCCACAAGAGCCCAGTCATGTCTGTGGCCAGTGCCCGCAACACACGCCGAGCCTCCCTCATGGTGTTCCTGGCAGCCGGGACCTTCTCCATCTGCTGGCTTCCCGGGTATGATGATGATGATGAAGATGATGATGACTTTATTGTATACGTTAGGAAATTATTTTTCATAGTGAGTAAGTGTTCTTCTAACACTTCTAGTTTATACCTCTTCTCCTGACTCGTCTTCATTCTTAGGTACATCCTGGAGCTGTGTGTGTACCTTGAGCTCTACCGCCACGGCCAGTCCTGGGAGATGTTCTACTTCATCTGCACAGTCCTCCAGTACCTCCACCCCTGTGTTAACCCCGTGCTCTACGTGCTGCTGTCCAAGAGGTACCGCCACCGCAGGGGTTCCTGGTTGTTTAACTGCAACAGGAATAGGGTGCAGCCGCAGATTGTCAGCATCACTACAGAGACTATGTAGACACACTGATCGCGAAGGGAGCTGGCTTTGCTTTGACATGGTGGAAAGCCTAATCTCGCCACCCAGGACAAACTATTTTGTGTGGATTATCGCATGATGTTTTTAACACTGTTAATAACTTGATACAGTCTGAATATGAATACAGTACATTACATTGCAGTGCAGTACATTAGCTCACATTCATCGGTGAGGTTCCTGATGCAGTCTTTTTGTGTTGGTGTTTTACCAACGTGTTTCTTTTAGTTCCTCCAGTTACTTTCCGCTTCTTCTTTTTGTGTTTCATTCTTGCCGGAATAGATTGACATTTACTGTATGCAGGATAAAAAGGGAGTAAAATGTTATTGTTTTAATGTTAAAACTGTTGTATTGTCTGTTGTCTGATATTGTTTACTAGGATATTTAAAATATTTTTTTACAGTTGCAAACTGGAATTGAAATTCCATTGTGTTCAAACAATCAGGGAATTTGATTCGAAATTTGATTACATTTATTTGATTGCTTAATTAAAACTTTCCCCCAAAAAAACATTTAAATGAATTTTGTGATTGATTTTCTGGAGTCTTTTGATTCAGTTGTTTTGTATGCTGAAGTTACTTTTAGAACACAAATAGATCTGGGACCAGGCTAATGGATTCCACAGCTAGCACATAACGTTCTGAGAACCATTTGTTTCTTAGAGCTTGGTGAGAGTGTGGTTGTCCTATGGTCATTTTGCATACAGCCTTCCCACAACTTTCTTGGACTGGTGCAGGACAGTTGCTTGGCTTTGGAACGTTCTCAGCAAATTTAAGCAACTTAAAAAACTATATTTGTCTTGGTATTTCATTACTTTAACAGAATGTTTCCTAATAGTTCAAACATGGTTACATTTAATTAAAAATTTTGTAATGTTCTAGGAACGTTCTCCAACTAGTTTGACATTGGGAATGCTCTCAAATTGTTCCAAGAATGTTAAGAAACAACGTAATTCTGCAGGATTTTCAGTACGTCAGCATAACATTTCCTAGAGGTTTACTCATGGTCCTATTTAAAGTAATGTTCTCAAATTGTTCCAAGAACGTTAAGAAAACATTCCATAAAAACCACAAGAAAACATTTGTACATTCAGAGAGCATTCTAAGAATGTTATTAAAAAATGTATACATTCCATTCTCAACATTAACAAAACTCTCTCTATCCTTTATCTTGTTAAGTGTGTTCAGGTGTGTTGGCCACGCCTACTAATTGGCCACACCTAAACTTAATGAGTGTTTGTTTACTTTGAAATGGGGTGTATTTTTACTAGACTAAAATTAACAGCTTTGCATGCGTAAAAAAGCACTCATTAAGCACGCTAGCTCCTTCCTGGTGGCGCAGTGGACTCATTTCATGGATAAACAAGAGAAGATTATAGGTTGGAATCTCACTGAGGCCATGTCACAATAAAAAACTAATGTGTTTGCATGATTAATGCCTTAGGAAATGAATTTACATGTATCCTATCTGTGCTTGGAGTTCAAAAACGTTAACCCAAAATAAGCTAGCAGTGTTTTTTAAAACCGTTTAATCAATCTTCATTTAACACATTTTACCAACGTCTTAGTTATTTTTATATATATTTTTTTCCCTCGCTCAACTTTTTTCATTCAACTTTTTCTCAAAGGACGCTTTATCTGGACATGTTTCTACAGGACCTCCACCAGCCGAAGCTATGTAGTAACATTAACACTATGCCATCTAATTGCAGTCGCTGTACTCATAATATACAGGAAAACTATTGCCTTATGGTGAGGATAGCCGTGCTGCAAGCCCAGCTTCAGATGCAATCGTGAGGCAAGGGCAATTTAAGTGTAGGAAAGGATGAAACAGCGTCTGTGCCACCAGTAAGTACAGATAGTAGTATAAATCCCCTCACACAGTCCCCGCAGCCGGACAATTTTCTCAAGGCTTCTGGAAAGTAATGCTGTCGGCATGCTCAACCGGTGACAGAAACTTTCAACCGGTTCTCCCCATTAAGCAACAAGTCGGAGTCAGAGGCCGAGCCTTCTCAGGTCTCTCCTCCACCCATTACAGGGTCTGAGCCACCGCAGCCTCCCACCATTAGCTTTGACAAATTGAAAACCCTAGTCATTGGTGACTCCATTACCCGCAATATTAGACTTAAAAATAATCATCCAGCGATCATACACTGTTTAACAGGGGGCAGGGCTACCGACGTAAAGGCTAATCTGAAGATGGTGCTGGCTAAGGCAAAAACGGGCGAGTGTAGAGAGTATAGTGATATTGTTATCCACGTTGGCACCAACGGTGTTAGGATGAAACAGTCAGAGGTCACCAAGAGCAACATAGCTTCAGCGTGTAAATTAGCTAGTAAGATGTATCGGCATTGAGTAATTGTCTCTGGCCCCCTCCCAGTTAGGGCAAGTGATGAGCTCTACAGCAGAGTCTCACAACTCAGAGCCCTGTCTATGTTGGTAGATAAGATGAGAGCACCCCTCCAGCTAGGATGGAGTCCATCACACCTCAGCAGGCCAGGCTTGGTCCTGTTTGTGGGTGAATCCCAGAAAAAGGGCCAATTATCTACAAATTCTATCTTTTGGGAGGGGCAGAAAACTGTTTTCAACCAGCGATGAACTCCTCTAGCTCCACAATGAGATAGGGTGCAGGCCAGGCAGCAGGCTGTTGGCCAGCCTGCCAGCTTAGTGGAGTCTGCCACTAGGACAGTCAGTGTAGTCAGCTCAGATATCCCCATTGAGACCGTGTCTGTGCCTCGATCTAGGTTGAGCAAAACTAAACATGGCGGTGTTCGCCTTAGCAATCTCACTGGAATAAAGACCTCCTCCATTCCTGTCATTATTGAAAGAGATTGTGATATCTCACATCTCAAAATAGGGCTACTTAATGTTAGATCCCTCACTTCTAAGGCAGTTATGGTCAAATAACTAATCAATGATCATAATCTTGATGTGATTGGCCTGACTGAAACATGGCTTAAGCCTGATGGATTTACTGTGTTAAATGAGGCCTCTCCTCCTGTTTACACTAGTGACCATATCCCCTGCGCATCCCGCAAAGGTAGAGGTGTTGCTAACATTTACGATAGCAAATGTCAATTCACCCCACCCCAAAATGACTGCGTTTTCGTCTTTTGAGCTTCTAGTCATGAAATCTATGCAGCCTACTCAATCACTTTTTATAGCTACAGTTTACAGGCCTCCTGGGCCGTATACAGAGTTCCTCACTGAGTTCCCTGAATTCCTATCGGACCTTGTAGTCATGGCACATAATATTCACATTTTTGGTGACTTTAATATTCACATAGAAAAGTCCACAGACCCACTACAAAAGGCTTTCGGAGCCATCATCGACTCAGTGGGTTTGGTCCAACATGTCTCTGGACCTACTCATTGCCACAGTCATACCCTGGATCTAGTTTTGTCCCGTGGAATAAATATTGTGGATCTAAATGTTTTTCCTCATAACCCTGGACTATCGGACCACCATCTTATTACATTTGCAATCGCAACAAATAATCTGCTCAGACCCCAACCAAGGACCATCAAAAGCCATGCTATAAATTCTCAGACAACCCAAAAATTCCTAGAGGCCCTTCCAGACTCACTCCACCTACTCAAGGACGTCGGAGTACAAAAATCAGTTAACGACCTAACTGAGGATCTAAATTTAACCTTGCGTAATAGCCTAGAATCAGTCGCACCCCTATAAACAAAAAACATTTGTCACAAGAAATTAGCTCCCTGGTATACAGAAAATACCCAAGCCCTGAAGCAAGCCTCCAGAAAATTGGAAGGGAAATTGCGCTCCACCAAACTGGAAGTCTTCCTACTAGCTTGGAAAGAAAGAACAGTACAATATCGAAGAGCCCTCACTGCTGCTCGATCATCCTATTTTTCCAACCTAATTGAGGAGAATAAGAACAATCCTAAATGTATTTTTGATACTGTCGCAAAGCTAACTAAAAAGCAGCATTCCCCAAGAGAGGATGCCTTTCACTTCAGCAGTGATGAATTCAACTTCTTCGACGAAAAGATATTGATCATTACAAAGCAAATTACAGACTCCTCTTTGAATCTGCATATTTCTCCAAACCTCAGCTGTCCTGAGTCTGCACAAAACTGCCAGGACCTAGGATCAATGGAGACACTCAAGTTTTTTAATCCTGTATCTCTTGACACATTCATGAAAATAGTCATGGCCTCTAAACCATCAAGCTGCATACTGGACCCTTTTCCAACTAAACTACTGAAAGAGCTACTTCCTGTGCTTGGCCCTCCTATGTTGAACATAATAGATGGCTCCCTATCCACTGGACGTGTACCACACTCACTAAAAGTGGCAGTAATAAAGCCTCTCTTGAAAAAGCCAAACCTTGACCCAGAAAATGTAAAAAACGATCGGCCTATATCGAATCTCCCATTCCTCTCAAATAATTTTGAAAAAGCTGTTGTGCAGCAACTCACTGCCTTCCTGAAGACAAAAAATGTATACGAAATGCTTCAGTCTGGTTTTTTAGACCCCATCATAGCACTGAGACTGCACTCGTGAAGGTGGTAAATTACCTTTTAATGGCGTCAGACCAAGGCTCTGCATCTGTCCTCGTGCTCCTAGACCTTAGTACTGCTTTTGACACCATCGATCACCACATTCTTTTGGAGAGATTGGAAACCTTAATTGGTCTACACGGACAAGTTCTTGCCTGGTTTAGATCTTAGCTGTCGGAAAGATATCAGTTCGTCTCTGTGGATGGTTTGTCCTCTGACAAATCAATTGTACGTTTCAGTGTTCCACAAGGATCCGTTTTAGGACCACTATTGTTTTCACTATATATTTTACCTCTTGGTGATGTCATTCGGAAACACAATGTTAACTTTCATTGCTATGTGGACGACACACAGCTCTGCATTTCGATGAAACATGGTGAAGCCCCAAAATTGTCTACCCTGGAAGCAAGTGTTTCAGAAATAAGGAAGTGGCAAATGTTTTACTTTTAAACTCGGACAAAACAGATGCTAGTTCTAGGTCCCAAGAAACAAAGAGATCTTCTGTTGGATCTGACAATTAATCTTGATGGTTGTATAGTCATCTAAAAAAAACCTGTGAAATACCTTGGAGTTACTCTGGACCCTGATCTCTCTTATGACGAACATATCAAGAATATTTCAAGGACAGCTTTTTTCCATCTTCGTAACATTGCAAAAATCAGAAAAGTTTTGTCCAAAAATAATGCAGAAAGCTAATCCATGCTTTTGTCACTTCTAGATTCTCTAGAAATGAACTTCAGTTAGTGCTAAACATGGCTGCTAGAATCTTGACTAGAACCAAAATATTTGATCATATTACTCCAATGCCAAAGACTCTACACTGGCTTCCTGTTAAGGCTAGGGCTGATTTCAAGGTTTTACTGCTAACCAAAGTATTACATGGGCTTGCTCCTACCTATCTCTCCGATTTGGTCCTACCATACATACCTACACGTACGCTATGGTCACAAGACTCAGGCCTCCTTATTTTCCCTAGAATTTCTAAGCAAACAGCTGGAGGCAGGGCTTTCTCCTATAGAGCTCAATTTTTATGGAATGGTCTGCCTATCCATTAGAGAGACACAGACTCGGTCTCGGCAGCCAAGCATCGATGATCATTTCACCAGAATACGACCCTCAATATTTATTGGAAAGGAGCATCAAGCTCATCACCTTGCACTTTCATCACCCTGTGATGTTCGGCATAACTTATTTAATCTGTAGCCTAATAAACTGCATGATTTCCCAACGAGTCGTTGTGGGACGACCACACACCATGTCATTGCGTGACTCCAAGTTTACTTCGATATGATGGTTATTATATCAATATTTGCGCGTAAAAGCGGTTCCATGGTCATTTCTCGCATAATACATTTTACCGACACCTTGTCTAGTGTGTTTAGTTTTGTCGAAATTTGGAACGTTTCCCGACAAATGTTCCGTTTCCATCAGACATGTCATTACATTTTTTTATCCGACATGTCCTTTACTCCCATAACAAGGTTGGATGGAAACCTGGTTTATGTTGTGTTTTTCTTACCGGTTGAATCTGAGTTGCATACTGGCAGGGGCATTGTAGGAATGGGGCCCTCTCCCTGTTCAGAAGAAGAAAAAGATTTAGGAGAAATAGAATGCTTCTTTTGACATTTTAGCAGACACTCTTATCCAGTGTGACTTACAATAAGTGCATTCAACTAAAGTAGCTAATCCAATAACATATTATGATAATCGCAAGTAAAGCCTTCACAATAGCTAGCTATCTGCAACATCTTAGACATAATTAGTTAAGGCCAGCCAGTTTCAGACCAGTACTAGTAACTGTACCAGTAACCAACTCCATGCTCAGTGTTCTGCTTACACTGGACTGGGGAGAGCCTTTCGATGGTCCTGTCTCCTGCAGCCAGGTCAGCCAGGCCGGGCAGTTGCTGAGAATGACTGGGGAGGCGCTCCCTGTCCCTGCTGTCCCTGGGCAGCTGTGAAGTGGGCACGGTGGGACGCAGGAAGGAGGGCACATGATGGGGGAGCAGGCGGGCAGCCTGGGGGCACTGAGCAGGGCCCCAGTCGTAGCCTAGGATACAACATGTACAGGAAGAGATGCTCAAAACATGCGCTGACAAGCGTGTATGTGGTATTTCAGTGAGAAATAAAGTGATTTTAGGCACTCATAGAATATTGTATGTATTGAAGCGAAGGGAAGAGAAGAGAAGAGCAGAGAAGAGAAGAAGAGAACAGAAGAGAAGACAAGCAGACCTTGAGGGCTATAAGCAACAGAAATGATGTCTACTAAGGTAGTTACTCTACCATTGAGTGTCTGGCCGAGGGTCAACTGCATCCTGCTGCTCATCTACTCTGCCATCAGGTGCTGCATGTACTCCGCTACGTATATACATACTGTAAAACATACAGGTTTTTGGCTTTGGCTTGTGAATATGAGGGTGGGATAGAGGAAATACAGAGAGAAGGAAATTGTGTAGTAATAACTACATTGAAGGAAGTTATTAGATGGAGGATATAGCTTCGATGTCATGGCCCCCCTCTCGGTATCGAAGACCAGGTATAGGACAGACACCTGGAGAAAGAACAGTGATTCAGGCACCGAACATGCTGCATGCTTCGAGGAATGTTCAGAGATTCACGCAGGGATTTAATTCATTCAGGGATTGAAATGAACATGATATCATATTGTGAGCATGTGGAGATGCAGTATTCTCCTACACCACTTGAGGGTGGTAAGAGAATTATGAAATGGAGCCTTGCTAAGCAGGCTTAGCAGGCCTCTCTCTCCCTCCTTAGACTACCACAACAGACTACCTTCTTATCTGGAAGGCTGGGCTGTGGGGGGACTAGTAGTCTCCCCCTCCATTTGGGAGGCTCCCTCCTGTGTACTGCTGGAGAAGCCATCAGCTGGAACTCAAACAGAGGTTCTCAGGTTCTACAACTGCACAACGCATTTGCCACAATAGTTGGTAACATATATTTTTTTGCTGAGTTTGTCTGCACAAAAATATTAACTGAACTGTAGTGGAGACAAAACACAATGGTTGTGTAAAGTTCTGCAAAGTGTGTATGGGGCTACAGAGAGCGAGGGAGTGAACGTGACACCACTCGTCTCTATCTCTCCCTGGTCGTGTGTCTGTCTGCCAGCTCCTGATTCACCTGACATGCTTCCCTTTCATCAGACTGGTTAGCAGGGTTAGGGTTTGGCCCTAACTCTTGTGGATAGGGAAACATTTCATGTTCAACATGTTCAGATGTGTGCATTCATCCTCTTCATCTTCATTGAATATGTAATGTTGCTTTTCTCTAACATCTCTTTGACACCATTATCCTGTAACGTAAAAGAATAGCAAAAATTAAGCTTAATAAGACAAACTAACAAATTACCGAAAGGAAATGTATTCGTACTTCTAAAGGAAAAATCTGATAGTGCAGTCCATATTCAGAGTGAGAGAATGACACAAACATCCGCCAAACACTGAGTATACGTATCCCCTTCTCCTCTCTCTCTGACCGCCACAAGGTGAGATCTGTTCCTCTCCTTCTTGGACTTCAGCTTCTTCTGGGACGTCATCTGGGTTATGGGAGTTATTTGCGACCTCGGAAATCCAACCTAGATACAATACTAAACTTTCTGTTGATGGTACAAGAACACTACTGTTAGTTTGCTACTACCACTGTTACTACCTTGTTAAAGGCCTGGAGGTGAGCAGGAGGTCCATCTGACTTTAAGCTGTTGGATCCACTGGTGCTGAAACACAACTATACACATCAATGAATTATTTATGCAAAATTCCAAATTGTGCGGGAATAACTCAGCACTGAATCGGGCCCTAAATGATGTTCTGTGGTGAATGGGGTAACCTGTGCCTGGCCTCACGGCCAGTCAGTGAGGTATCAGTTGGTTCTGTGTCTATGGGCAGACCTGCCTCCTACCTCATCATCTCCTGTAGCTCTCACACACGCACTATACTGCAGGAAGAACATTACAGACGGGTGAGACTGGTGCCTCTGTCTGTTTCTAATGTGAACAAGCTGATATTGAATCTTCGTTACAGGTTACACTCAAACAGTTCCACCCCAATGGCTCTGGTTACACCTTTGTCCTGTGCAGTTCACAATAGTCCAGTAGTGTGTCACAGAACGGAGCCCCCCCCCAACATCTCCAGGTCCTCAATGCTGAAATGGGTCCCCTTCCTCTAACCTGCAATCAAACGAAAAGTGAAATCTTTGGACTGACTTAATCTGACTGGTAAAACCTGAGACGTGCCGAGTTCTCTGACTAAAGTAAAGTACTTTAGCTTTAAGTCTATCAAATCTTTCCTTTCCATTCAAAAATCTAGCTCCACTGTCTCTCTGTCTCTCTTTCTCTCCCTTTCTCTCTCTTCTGCTGGAGAGACATGGTAGAGATGGAAAAATGCAGCGATGTGGTGGATATCCTTGCCGATGTTGGAGCCACAGAAGTCTTTAGGGTAAAGGAGAAAAGGCCCCTGGCCCCCACAGAGCCACTCTGTCTGTCCCCTCCTTCCTGCGCTGAACCTTAAAGCTTAAACACTTAAAGCTCCCAAACGAAAACTGACCCACATGAAAATAATACTACAGTTTACTATAGAACACTACAGTACTTACTATAAAATTCTACAGTAAACTGTAGTATACAGTAGAATACTATACTACACACTGTAGTATCCCTCGATCATGTGTAGAATGTTGTAGTATACTGTAGAATACTACAGTAAATACTACAGTATTATCCACACAACAAACACAACAAACACTGTAGGAAATACTACAGTAACGTCCGCAAAAACACTACAGTCCGCAAAAACACTACACTTTTCTATCTATAGTAAATACAACAGTATTCCCCTCCCCCATGTCGCAATTTGTGCCACCGATAAGTGAGAAACCTACATGCCAAGTATAGACTAAATTGTGTTCCATGCAGGTTATAGAAAATAGCAGAAGCTCTGAACTATCTGTTCAGGCCCCAGACCTACCTACCTACAGGTTATGGAACATTTGCTCTTTTAGTATTTCTCCAGTAGGTTTCCTGAAGGAGAAAGCCTCCACTTCAATATCAAAGGTAAAAAAACAAAAACACTATAGTAAATACTACAGTATAGTACAGTCTGCAAAAAAACTACAGTAAATACTACAGTATACTACAATCTACAAAACATTACATATACACTACAGTTTTCTTTTACTAAAGTATTTATACTATAGTTCACTGTAAATACTACAGTATAATACAGTGAATACTACAGTAAAGTCTGCAAAAACACTACAGTGAGTACTATAGAATTTATACCATAGTATGCTATAGTATTTTTTCATGTGTGGAGGACACATAAAGATCCGATGTTTGAGAGGCCAGTCTTTTGCTAAGATTTGTTGCATCTTGGAAACCCCAGCAGCCAACATGAGAAAAAGCTAGGCAGTTCAAATCAAGGAAAATGTATTCTCAAACTACTTAAAACTGTCTGATCTTCTGTTGGGTGTTTCATCTCAACTGGGCCGGTATTCACAAAGCATCTCAGAGTAGAAGTGCTGATCTAGGATCAGTTTTGCCTTTTAGATCATAATGAATAAGATTATATGGAGAGGGGGGACCTGATCCTAGATCAGCACTCCTACTCTGAGAAGCTTTGTGGATATGGGCCCTGGCCTTGACTGAGGGGGATAAAACACAGAAACAATTTTTATTTAACCTTTATTTAACTAGGCAAGTCAGTTAAGAATAAATTCTTATTTACAATGACGGCCTACACCGGCGACGTGGGCCAATTGTGCGCCGCCCTATGGGACTCCCAATCACGGCTGGTTGTGATACAGCCTGGAATCGAACCAGGGGGTCTGTAGTGACGCCTCAAGCACTATCTCAGGGCAGTTCTTGCTGAGAATCAGAGGAAAGACGCGTTCGTGAGAGTGTCTGTCAGCAGGCCGGGGGTTCTCACAGCCGTAGGTGAAGACATTGTGTGGCTGTGTCCATGGAGATCAAAGTACAGCAGCACCTTACTCTCCTCACACAACTTTGGGTGGGCCCACAGGTTGGAGTAGGTGTAGGGGTAGCAGTGAGAACAGTAGCAGGTGTCCTTGTCATAAGGGAAACATTTATACGAATGTTTGTGTATTAAAGACATGTCGTTTAGGTGTGTCGCACTGAAGAAGGTGCAAGCCAAAACGTATGACGGTTGACAGTGTGTGGTCTACTAAGACATCTTGCTTGAATAAGATAAAGAAAATTAATTTAAAAGGTCCAATGCAGCTTTTTTAATCTCAATATCATTTAATTTCTGGGTTAACAATTAAGTACCTTACTGTGGTTGTTTTCAATAAAAAATGTCAAAAAAATAAACTAAAATAGCTTCTTAGCAAAGAACAATTTCTCAAGCAAGAATTTTGCTAGGACTGTCTGGGAGTGGTCTGAGTGGGGAGTGGAAAACTGAAAACTAGCAGTTATTGGCAGAGAGGTTGTCATGATTTAACTGGATTTGAACCCAAATGCAGACAACTACACCGAGCCAGAGAAGGTTTAACAGGTTTATTTACAAAGTTCAATTTGTCCAGGTTTCCAATAATAGGGGAAGAGCAAGTCCAGGTTTACAGGGAGGGTAACAGATCCAGGTTCAGAGCAGGTGTGGTACCGTAATGTCCTAGTGTCCGTGGTGAGTCCAAAAGGGAGGTCCGGTAGTGGAAAGCAGGATGGTGGTGGCAGGAGTGAAGCGGAGGCAGGAGTCAGGTTCCAATAATCTGTGGCACAGGAGAAAAGTAACTAGAACAGGCCAAAAACACAAAGGGCGAAAACAAGCAGGTTGAGTCAACAGCGAAACTAACATGGTCGTCTTGACTATGATCTGACGATGAGTGGCAAGTTTGACCGGGTCTTAAAGGCTGAGGTGATTATGGTGAATGCTGCAGCTGGAACCCTGACTCCCGCACACCAGACTTCACTCCTGCAATCAAGGACAGACAGAGGGGAGGGGAAGAGCAGAGAGAGAGCTACCTAGCAGCAGTAGGCCTAACAGAGGTTTGGAACTCTCTTTCTTATTGGTCTGTTAACTAATATACTGTACCTCCTGGTGATGTTACCAGGCAGGCCAAAACTCCATCCCATACAGGCTGAAATTTCAGGCAGTCTTTTCAAAGAGCTCTTACACTGTTCACAATTCCACAGTATTATTCCAACCTCATAGTGTGGAAATATATTTCAAACACAGGAAAATCTCATTTTTGTCTGCATTGGGCCTTTAGACAAAGCTTCATTTGTAACATATAATCAAGTGAGTGCTGGCCTTTTGGTGCTGGAGTGTTGAAGCACATTCAATCATTTTCTTTACTTGGTAGTAAGGACTTGGTAGTAAGGGAAGCAGAAGGTCCAGGAGAGGGAGTAGCAGGGCTGGTTGGTGTGCTGGTGCACATTACATTGGAAGGAGGCCTGTTGACCCACCCGATGCCAGCCTACACCCTGGACCCGGGCAATCTCCTCAGAGTAGAGCAGGGGCAGCTGCCCCTCCTCACACAGGCTGGTCACTATCAAATCAAATCAAATCAACATGTATTTAAAAATGTTGGCTATATCACATGAAAATCTGGCAAAACACAAAAAAATGTAAAAAAAGATGGAGAGGGAAAAGAGTCACAGTAAAAATGGCAATAACAACCTATCTTCAGCAGTTAACGCACCCCCGCACGGGTGTTCCTCACCTGGAAGTGGAACCCCTGAGTGTGCTTCTCCTTGTACAGGTCGGTGCGCAGAGAGAGCTCGTAATCAAATTCACCACTGAAATTAAATTAAATAAGATTAGACAGAATGTAAATGGCTGTGGGCATTCATTCACTCATGACTAGGATGAGTGACAATATTAGAGGATTGAAATGAAATCACACAACACAGAATGGAAATTGTCAATCACTCAGAACTTTGAATGACAGTGTGAGAGGGTTGACAATACTTATGGATGTTCTGTACTCACACTCTTGTTGCTTTCAGCAGGTCGCCACTCTCGAAGCGTCCCTCGAACAGCAGAGTGGTGTCATCAGGCCCAGAGAGAGACACAGCAGCAGGGGTCAGGGCAGAACGACGGATATTTTGGGCTGGTTCCTTAGTGCAGGGGTTCTCAAACTTTTGGGGCCGTGGACCCCTTTTGTGATAGCAAATTTATCAGGGACCCCCTTATAATCAGAACACAACTCGAGTGTCATAAAAGGAGTTTTACTATGACTTCGGCAGAGCATGGCCGGATGAACCAAGTCTCAGGCCCTGTGAAGGAGCATTTTAAAGGCCCACCTCTTGGCATCGGAGAGAAAATGTTGCAGTTTTCAAGCTAAATTCCTGCAATTCTACACATTTTGTCATGAGGCAGAGAGAAAACTTTGTAGTTTTAAAGCTTAAATTACAGTGCATTTATGTTTAAAAAAAATACATTTTGGAATAGAATAGAATAATTATTGAGTTGAACATTTGATAATTGGTGGAGTATTGTGGATACCAATATCTCTGTGAGCCTGTGTCAGGATCCCCCCGGTACTGCTGCTCATTCCGTTCACCAGCTCCAGAGGTCTATGTCACCGGTCTTCTAGGCATCACTGACCTGGATCATTACCACCAACCCCAGACTGTCTTGTCTCATTATGCACACCTGGTTCCCATCCTCCCTGATTAGTATATGTATACAGTGGGGAGAGCAAGTATTTGATACACTGCCAATTTTTCAGGTTTTCCTACTTACAAAGCATGTAGAGGTCTGTAATTTTTATCATAGGTAAACTTCAACAGTGAGAGACGGAATCTAAAACAAAAATCCAATAAATCACATTGTATGATTTTTAAGTAATTAACTTGCATTTTATTGCATGACATAAGTATTTGATACATCAGAAAAGCAGAACTTAATATTTGGTACAGAAACCTTTGTTTGCAATTACAGAGATCATACGTTTCCTGTAGGTCTTGACCAGGTTTGCACACACTGCAGCAGGGATTTTGGCCCACTCCTCCATACAGACCTTCTCCAGTTCCTTCAGGTTTCGGGGCTGTCGCTGGGCAATACGGGCTTTCAGCTCCCTCCAAATATTTTCTATTGGGTTCAGGTCTGGAGACTGGCTAGGCCACTCCAGGACCTTGAGATGCTTCTTACGGAGCCACTACTTAGTTGCCCTGGCTGTGTGTTTCGGGTCGTTGTCATGCTGGAAGACCCAGCCATGACCTATCTTCAATGCTCTTACTGAGGGAAGGAGGTTGTTGGCCAAGATCTCGCGATACATGGCCCCATCCATCCTCCCCTCAATACGGTGCAGTCATCCTGTCCCCTTTGCAGAAAAGCATCCCCAAAGAATGATGTTTCCACCTCCATGCTTCACGGTTGGGATGGTGTTCTTGGGGTTGTACTCATCTTTCTTCTTCCTCCAAACACGGCGAGTGGAATTTAGACCAAAAAGCTCTATTTTTGTCTCATCAGACCACATGACCTTCTCCCATTCCTCCTCTGGATCATCCAGATGGTAATTGGCAAACTTCAGACGGGCCTGGACATGCGCTGGCTTGAGCAGGGGGACCTTGCGTGCGCTGCAGGATTTTAATCCATGACGGCGTAGTGTGTTACTAATGGTTTTCTTTGAGACTGTGGTCCCAGCTCTCTTCAGGTCATTGACCAGGTCCTGCCGTGTAGTTCTGGGCTGATCCCTCACCTTCCTCATGATCATTGATGCCCCACGAGGTGAGATCTTGCATGGAGCCCCAGACCGAGGGTGATTGACCGTCATCTTGAACTTCTTCCATTTTCTAATAATTGCACCAACAGTTGTTGCCTTCTCACCAAGCTGCTTGCCTATTGTCCTATAGCCCATCCCAGCCTTGTGCAGGTCTACAATTTTATCCCTGATGTCCTTACACAGCTCTCTGGTCTTGGCCATTGTAGAGAGTTTGGAGTCTGCTTGATTGAGTGTGTGGACAGGTGTCTTTTATACAGGTAACGAGTTCAAACAGGTGCAGTTAATACAGGTAATGAGTGGAGAACAGGAGGGCTTCTTAAAGAAAAACTAACAGGTCTGTGAGAGCCGGAATTCTTACTTGTTGGTAGGTGATCAAATACTTACAGTACGTCATGCAATAAAATGCAAATTAATTACTTAAAAATCATACAATGTGATTTTCTGGATTTTTGTTTGTTTTAGATTCCGTCTCTCATAGTTGAAGTGTACCTATGATAAAAATTACAGACCTCTACATGCTTTGTAAGTAGGAAAACCTGCAAAATCGGCAGTGTATCAAATACTTGTTCACCCCACTGTATATGTGCCCTCTGTTCCCCATTGTCCTTGTCGATTATTGTCCCATGTCCGTTTGTCTCGTGAGTACCGTGGATTGTGCTCTTGTTATTACGGGTCTCGTCCCGTGTATTGTTTAGAGGTTTACACCTCACTCTTTTGTTTGGGTTACATCCCTGTGATATATATATATACGTGTTTGTTTTGGGCTTCGTCCCCGTCATTTTGTATGACGTACCTTGTGTTGGGTGGAGGAAATAAAATCCCTAATACGTATTCCTGCGCCTGTCTTCTAATCATTATACAACGTGACAGCCTGCCCAGGGTTAAGAACTTAAATTGTAGATTAATCATATTACATTGTATTGTATTGTATTACACCCTTTAAACTTGTTTCAAGTATCCCTTGGCCAAAACTTGCTTAATCTGTTGTTGTTAGTAAAATTAATGTAAAAAATATTATGTAAACAATAAATAATTATAATGTATTTTGAAATCTGGCCCCAGAGGTCTGCAGACCCCACTTTGAGAACCCCTTCCCTAGTGGAAACAGAGTAAGCCTCATCCTGGACTTAAAATCCTGCTCGCTGGAGAATCGCAATTGAAAGTGCATTTTAGTCCAGGACTAGGTTTAATCTGGGTCCGTGAAAGCAGTCCATCATATTAAAAACATCCTGTATGCTGTATATATGCCAGGCGAGAGCAGCTCAGTGATTGACATTTTCTATTACCTGTGTATTGTAGACAATTATGTCCTCCTCCTCAGACTAAGTCGCTCATTGGTGTTCATCTGAGGGCACAGGGGCTCTGGGGAGGGAGGAGTCCACCCCGGGAACACAGGAAAGCCAAAAGGGCTTCCTCCAGACATAAAATGCTCTCCGGTATAAAGTCTAGCTTTCATTAAGTCTACTCCTGAACTAAAAAGCTTGAGAAGAGAACATGAAATAGGAAACCGGCTCACAAATATTCTGTATTCCCCCCGGGATGACCTCACACTCGTAAGGCAAGCGTCGGAGTGTTTGGGACACATGTCCAGACACACCATAGAGGTGGCGGGGATCCCGCAGGCGAGGCACAGCCCTTCCCGACTGTATCTCAAATACCACCAGGGTGGTTCTCGGTAGTGGAGAAACACCTGACACATTGGTGTGGAAAGACGTTTGGGTTTTAGCCAATATGATCAGCAGTTGGGGAAGTAGCTACAAGTTTAACTTAACTTTTCATTGGTTTGGTGGAAGTTAGGTTAACTAATTTCCAAAACATGTAGCTAATTCAGTGGTTTAATTGTTCTCTGAAACTTTAATGATTCAGAACTGTTTCTACATATGGAACTTTTGGAGAAATGTAGTCTATGTTACAGTCCCACCTTTCTCATTGTCAATAATTACATTTTGTTCATATTCTGGATGAAGAATGTTAAGTTCACTTGTTTGAGACCACCAAATCAACCAAATCCGCTAAATAGCGCTGCTAATAACTCTATATTGGAAATACTGTGATTTCAGAAAAATTGTTCAGAAGCTAAATTATTTAAAAAATATAGGTTTATTATCATTTCTACACACTTTCTACCTGGATTTTAGTGTAAGTTCAGATTGGAGTATTTAAAAAAAATGTTAGTAAAAAAATAAGTAATCAGACACTCGCAACCCATCCAAAATCAAATTTGTGTCGCGTGCCCACAGGTTGAGAATCACTGATTTATGACACATAGATTATGATTGAGTTTCAAGTCTGCTTCAAATAGCATAATAAACATGAGTCAGGCAAACCCATCAAAATACATTTTTTACAGTTGCAATATACATTTCCATAGTGGTTTGAGGGCAGATTTCCAAAACACCTCTACATAGAGTGAGGGTTAACATCAAGACAGGTGGCTTTGAGACCACCTGTCTCAAAGCCAGCCTCTACCCCCAAACCACAAGACCGTTCCAACAGCTCAACCCTGGGCTGACTACTGCACCCTACCACATACTTACCATTTATTCATAGACACACTTAAATCACTTTAGTCTACCGGACCAATGCAATAGTTATGTCACCTAACTGCACTATGTAGATATACTTGAATTATAATGATATCCTGCTAATGCACTGTAGTTATTCTGCACACGGGCAAACAATGTCTATACTATATGCCTATAGGCTATTTTTGTTTTATCTTATTTTTTTACTTGATTTAGTTTAGTGTTATTTTTAGTATTTTTTTCTATGTCTCTTTGATTCAATTTGATTTGACTGGATGTATTTTTTGTCACCTGTTGATCCAGGGAACCAGGACTGGCCCTCATTATTGGATATATTTTGCACACACAATAATTTACAGTACTTGTAAATACTTATAGGAAATCACAAACCGTTTTTCAAATGGACATGGCATTCAATGTATGTTAAATAATTAAACAACTGCAAGGCGCACGACAACTCTGGAGGGACGCCGGCCTCTCGATTGCTCATTGCTAACTGGTGCCAGCCTGACTGTAATTCCATCTGACTCCACAGAAATGCACCACGTCAGTTAAAACTTGCTGGCCTGATCTCACTTAGCAACATTGACATTCAAAAAGACAAGCCACACTTTCCAGATAGAGGCTAAACTGACTGTCGTTTTCCTGTGACATTCTCACTCATAAATTGTGGTTTCATGTAGCTACTTATGAACTAAGCAAAATAAGCTTAGCTATATTTCTAATGATGCTAACTGATGTGGCTCATGCAATGGAATTTATTTTTTGTCATGTCAGTTTAGTTGACTCAACAAATCACAGAACAGATTGAAGGGTACACTTCCTGATTTTACTTTCTGGCATGGGTACACTCAAAATAGCTGCCAGTCCACCCATTATGCCACCATTGACTTGAATGGAGACGCCTTTTCTATTAATTTGTTATTTCTATTACATTAAAGCCAGACTCAGTAAATCTCATTACGTCATTTGTGATTATGAAATATTAAACTGTCAGGGCGACAAAACAAACCCAGTGCTATATCTGAAAGTTCTCAAGCAGCCGCTGGGCCAGCCACCCTTCCATCAGTCAGTATCAGACGGCTGTTGTTCTCGTTTGCTTGTAGCTTACAACAAGCATAATCACCCACCGGTAGGCTATGCACATTTGCAAGCAATGCGTGTGTGGATCTATCTTTTTGCTAGCCAGCTAAATTAGCTAGCTAGCTAACAGTAGACAGAGCTGGCTTTCGTGATTATTATCCATAGTGTCCAACATGCTGCTGGCACTGGCATGCTGACAAGTCTGAAATATGGTCCAACTAGCAGGTGTTGCACTAGGAAAATATTCTCAATTCCTTCCTGAATGAAAATCACCCACAATTCCAGTTTTCATTCAGAAGCTCAAGCTAGCAACATCAAAGCAACTTTGTGCGATAAACCCACCAGTGGTTTCAAATCTGCGCTCCTGTGTATCGTCAGACGGACTGACAGCCTGGAGCCAATATTATTAACCGTTACGACATGCATTTGTCAGCTAAATTACACGTTTATTCTGTATCACTTAACTCTCATTTATGAGTCTCTTTCATATTGAGAGGGATATAGCTAGATATGTATTGTTAATGTGTTGCTGTAGTAGTGGATGGATCAGAGGGACATATAGAATGTACATAAGATAAATTATCAATAAGCCTATGCGTCATAATTACCTGGCAAAATCTGACATGCAATTTGTAAACAAAGCTGTTGTAGGCCTACTTATAATTGATAAAACCTTCATTTGTATCACTTTGAAGTGATACAAATGGCATATTCATCTTCATCTATACATTTCGAGATATATTAAACCAGGAAAAAAAGTGAAATTTTATTTGGGAATTAATGAGTCTGTCTTTAACACTAGTTTGGGTACCAGTCTTTTTAGCGAACATTCCGCAAGGAGTGGAATGTTAGCTAAAAAGACTGGTACCCAGGCTACATTAACACATGTAACTTTTATGTTCATTTTATGGGAAGAATAACAGCGTTCCAAATTCCAATATTATTTTGATAGAGCACAATTAATAATTTCTGCTTCTTTTGTAAGAAGGTGTTTGTGACTCATCTCATGACAGTGAAATGTGCGCCGCCCATGAGTCTCCCGGAGCCTGGATTCGAACCAGGATCTCTAGTGGCACAGTTAGCACTGCGATGCAGTGCCTTAGACCACTGCGCCACTCAGGAGGCATCATGCACTGCTGCTTTCATGTTAGATTTCATATACATTGTTCATTTTGTAATGGTCTGTAATGACCTGCCAGGTGGCAGGGAAAAGTTTGTTATCAGGGGTGAAGAGAAAAGGTCATAAGGCCTCCTTGAGCCATGAGGAGAAAAGGTCATAAGGAAGGAGTTGAAGACACCTGCATTGGACACATGCACACACACTTATAGTGTATGTAACTTGCACAACTCTAAATGATTGATGTTGATGTTATTCATTTTATTTGTAACAAGATCTACCTCTTCCCAGAACACTTAACCTAGGGTTGGAAAATATATTACCAGATATTTACTTGTAGCCTACTGCATCTAGTAAAATGGTAATTACACAGTAATAGCCTATGAATTAGGCTACTTGTCATTTCAGTTAACCATTAACATTCTAGCATGGATCCAAACTAAATTGCTTCATGATGAAGTGAAATGGAACAATTCGGTTAGGATCAGACTTTGTAGATACACCCCCAGAGGATCAGAAGAAGCCTGTTGCCATGAGCTCATCATTCCATGTGTTCCGTATAGGCCACTAAGATCGGCGTTGGCGCATTGGAACGTTAGAGGAGTATGCGTCTCTGTTTATTTATAGATGTCTCTAATGTTACCTAGCAGACATTTGCTCTCTGAGCTGGATTCAGTTACACCTACTGCTCTGGTGGACGCTGAAAATACAGCAACATCTATGCAGTGTACACACACACACACACGCATGCACGCACGAACACACGTACAGACGCCCAGTCATTGATCTACAAGTACTTTTGAATGCCGAACAACCCCAGGCGATATCACTAGCCAACTGTAGTTAAACTGCGCACTGTGCCCAGCTTCGCGCGCTGACCACTGTGAGGTAGGCGGCCTGTTCTTGCACATCTGTGGGGGTGGTAGATCAACAATCTCTGGAGTAGGATACGTTTACATAATAATAATTTGATATTCAACTGATTATGGCAATAGTCATGTAAACACCTTACTCTGTTTATCTTAATCAGCATACGGTAAAGTATACGGCAGTGGAGGCTCCTCAGTGAATTTCATAAAAATCTAAATAGCGAAACGTTAAAAAAGTTATCCTTTTTAGAAAAAACTATACTAAATATATTCGTGTCACCAAATAATTTATTAAAACACTATGGGTGTTTCTCAATATGCATACTACCGTGCTCCACACTCTCATGCTCCTAGTGCATTCTCCGAGGACATTCTCTTGAGTACGTTCTTGTGAGGACGAGAGTGTGGAGAACACATAAAACGTTTCATTTGAGAAGCACACACCCCTACTGTATTACCTCACGCTGCATCTCCCCGTTCACTGAACCTTCTTCCAGCCAGGACAATGGCAACAATAGAGACGAAACAAGATATACACAAAGCAAACCTTTTACTTCATAATTATCAGCTAGCTATATGTGAATCGTAATAATGTAGCTAACCAGATAATATAACAGGCAAAAATGACCTAAAATCAATGTTATCCAAGGTAGATGTTGATTCTTCGTGGGCAGCTAGCTAACAATTCTTTGTGGCTATCTGGCTAGCTAACAGTAGTAGCTAGCCAGTTAGCTCTATTTTCTTACTATGGGCTTACGACCTACGCACACTACAGTGGGTACTGTAGGCAGGTAACCATGCCCTAATTAACACAGCATGTATTTATTAACGTATCAAGAAAATATTGTACTCAGGCAACATATGAGATGTACGTTTATTTTCTCTTGCTTCAGCTCAAATGATGCCCGCCATTGATTTCAATACAATTTGCATCATTTTACGTGGTTGCATCATATTTCTTTGCATATTTTCCGTTGAAGCTTGCACCCTCCCGTGCTCCAATTTGCGTGCTCGGAGCACAGTAGTATGCATTTTGAGAAACACCCACTGTTTTGCAATGAAGGTCTACAGTAGCCTCAGCAGCTCTCTGTAAGGTAGCACCATG